TTAAATAGCAGATGGTGCCGTAGGAATACAAAAGCAGTTGTTCTGCATGTCCTGTGCAGTGAAAAAAATGCTGGGTGAAAACTGGATCTAGTTTTAGTTTCTTGTTTCCCAGAGGTGGATTTGGAACAAAGGGAGCTCAGGTATCATTGCCGCAGGGGGTGGGGGGGTGAGCAGATAGCCCAGCTTCGGATGTGGTATGCATACAGTCAGATGCGGTATGCGTACAGTCAGAAGTGGTATGCGTACAGGAAGTGGTATGCGTACAGTCGGGGGACTCGCCTGCATCGCTTGCTCGGGCAAAGCTCCAAAGGGTTTTGCTGGGTAAGGATGCATGGGAACAGCCTTAAGTCACCAAACTGACAGCAAATTCAAATGCCTCCCCGAATCTAAAAGTGTTTCTTAGATGCTGTTTACTATAGCTCCGATTTTTATTTTTTTTAATATACTTTTTTTTTACAGCAGCCTTTTACCTACACTTTACTAAAGTTAAGGCATCCTGCGTGCAGAACCTTCTGCTTCTAAACAACAGTGGTGCTGCTGAGATTAGAGCTGTCCTGTGAGGAATCTATGAAACTAAAAAGTCTCGTTCTGGTGATGAAATCAGAGCGACCGAAAGGATGTTCAGTATATATGAAGTAATGTGGATGTTAGTTAGCTACCAGTGTCAGTGTATAATATCACTTGTTTAGAGATTCCGATAGGTATTTCAGGTTATAGCTTGCCATGTTTTCTTTTGTGCCCTTACAACAGATGGGTACTGGGCACTTGAAAGGTTGATTTTCAGTGTGAGTTAAAAGGAGAAAAAGATACTACAGTTAATTTAAGGAACCTCAAATGGATAATACTGTTATTAATTTTATGAATTAGATGCTTGCCTCTGAAGTCCTGAATTTTTGACGTGCGCTTCTGAAACTTGTTCTTTGAATACAATGCTCCAAAATTCAAATAATACTCAAGTAACTTTCAGTCCCTTTTTTTGGAGGCAAAAAGCAGAAATATGAGAGATATTATCTTGCTGCTGGTTTATATCACTGTGGGGTGCACGTAGGGTTTTTTTTCATGATTGTATTTAATGAAGTTTTCTTGTAAAAAATAACTCTAGCTGGTTACGCATCAACTATTTTGTATGACTTACTCTGCTTATTCAACTACTGGCTTTTTTCACATCTGTGTAAGAAATAAAGTATCTTGCAGGTGAATCACCTGTGTGTTACTGAGCACATCATCTTCAACTTTGTAAGAGACAAACTGTAATTGTAAAACACTCTATAAAGTGAAGGTTCAAAAAAAAAGAAGCTAGCTTGTTAGAGTTGTTTACCCAAGTGCTTATCTCTTTCTTTTGTTTGAGTTTGGTGAAAACTGCTGTATTTGGATACCGAGTCAAGGAGTAAATTGTCTCTGTTTTTCTCCCTATCGCTCCAATCTCCTGATTTTACCTTTATTTTGTACATCATCTTCCTTGTGAACATGAGGCTCTTTTAATAAATAGAGGGATTTTATATAATCTACTGAAACAAAACTGTGTCACGGTCCCTTTTGCTTGATGGTCCTGTACCGTAGCATTTAAACAAGCTAGGGATAAAATTTGCATTTTACGTTTTTGTTTTTGTTTTTTTTTTTCCTTTGAACCAATTTGTCTGTCTTACAGAAAATACGAGTATTCCCTCCACTTTTCTGACAGGACAGGTCCTGTACCGTAGCATTTAAACAAGCCAGGGGTAAAATTTGCATTTTTACGTATTCATTTTTTTTTTCCTGTGAGCCAATTCGTCTGTCTTACAGAAAATATGAGTATTCCTCCACTTTTCTGACAGGACGTGCTGAGTACTACTAACCTCCATGTTACAAAGCAGCTGGGGAAACACGAGCCTCCTGCACGCGGGGCGTTTTGTGGAAAGTTTCCTGAGAGAAATGGGACTGAAAGGGCGGCTGCTGCTTTACCTTTACTGGGGGGGTGGTGGGGTCCCCTTCATTTACCCCCGTGCAGAGGCAGATATCCCCTCAGGAAGAGCAAAGGTGCGCTTGCCGGGCATCTTTTCTCTGGCTCCTGCTCCTGTTGCAACAGAGGATCTGAGAGGAAGAAGGTAAGAAATGAGCTGTTCCTTAATCTCGCTGCAGCCTGCACTGCTGGTGGTGCCGCAGCAGTCCCAGCTGTGCGTCTGCTGATCCCTGCTGGTCTCAGCCCTCTCACAGCTGCGAGCACCTCTTGGTTCTGGGCTCTGGCATGCGTGTGGTGAAGCGACCGCTTGCCCTAAGCGTACCCACGTCGCGTACAGCTTGGGGTACACAGGCCACGCTGCTGCTTTTGTCACAGACCAGGGAGGGGGGTATGCCAGAATCTCCCTGGAGCAATAGAGCAGCGGCACCAAGGGCCCAGGTCATCTCTGCTGCACCCAGGTAGGGTGGATCTCTGTATCCTGTGATAAGCTAATCATGCTTCCTAAACTAAAGTTTCTTAAGAAAGGGTGGGGTGAGGTGTTCTGCTGTATTTTGCTGAGAGGAGGCCCCACCTGGCTGCGCTAAGCAGCCAACAGCAGCGGCGCTGCAAGTCTCCTCTTCCGACAGAAGCCTTCCTTCACTCAGCTACGCTTCCACGAGCTCTTGCGATCAACTACAGTATAAACTATACAAACTATAAATTAACAAATGATGTTCAAAGAAAATTAAAAAACCACAACCCAACCCCTTCACTTTGCTTTTGCTAACCTTATTACACAAATTACCATGGGATTAACCTGCCCGAGGCCAGCACCTTGCCTGGTAAATCAGTGTGTGCAGTTACAGAAGCCTGTGGTGTGGCTGTGAGTCACCTGAGCTGAGACTCCAGCTTAGCTAAACTAACACACTCAAATTTACATTGTTAAATACTTTGTTGTGCATCTTCACCATTATTATCCATACTACAGAGCCGTGGCAAGTTCCCACCATCGCTGAGGGCTCGGGCTCCTGAGCTAAAACCCTCAAGGCAACCTGGCGAGGAGTGTGGCGCAGCCGGGGCGATGTACCCTGGCTCCCAGAACACCCGCCGAGCCCGTGTGAATTCTCTGAGGTACTAGAGCCGCTCTGGAGGACACAGCCCGAATGGCCAGCTGCCCCAGTGTGTGACTAACATAGTCCAAACTCCTCTGGATAGTTGAAACATTTTGATTTTCCCTTTCCCTTTTCCAATGCCCCCCCAAAAGCATGAAAAACATCCACAGGAAAAAAAACCCACCCAACCAGTTTTCAGAGAGACGGAATTCCTACAGAACTGAAGCACATAAAAAGACACACACTATTTATATTTAAGATACCAATTCAACAACAGAATTAAAGCTTTTCTGCTGGTCTTTTATAAACCAAGCAATCCTACTGCAGTATTGGTTATGCTATTACTTTAAACAGGCAACACCCCCCACCCCCACCCCCTCCCCATCCTCCTGGATGGGTGGCAGAGCCCTCACTCTCTGCCCATAGCCCCACGGCCGTGCGTATTTTCTATATGTAAAACACCAGAACACTCCCCTCTGTCCCATCAACCCCCTGCTACACACACAAAATACGACGCCAGCGCTTTTTAAAATACAACTGTATCTCAATGACCTCTTTCAAAACTAAAAGGCTTCCCTTCCCCGTACCCAGCTACATTTGTGACACAGCAGAAATTTCATAGTTCTCCCTGTGTTTGTTTTTATTTCGGTTCACCTTTCAGCCTCCACGCCTCCACCATGGAAAGCTGTGAAAACTTCTGGCAATGCTGCTGCAGCTTCTTTATGCTCTTTTTTTTTTTTTTTTTTTTTTTTTAATGGCTGTGTAAATTTAAACAGCCTTTATTTCTCAGCTGCCCCATCTTATAACTCACCTATATAGTAAATAGCAAAATATGAATGAGATTTTGAAACCATTTTTATGCTGTTAAATAAAACAAATGAAATAATTGTAAGAAAGCTATAGGCAGAGAATTTTTGCACCAACAAAACTATTCAGATAGCTATAAACAAAGTGAGCTTACCAATTTGAAAACTGATCAGGTCCTCCTTCACTGGTTAACAGTGGCTGAAAGAGTTTTATGATTGTGCAACCCAAAAGTCTCACTTTGTTCACTAAAAGCTGAGGGAAATGGACCAAATCAGTCCATAAATGCATTCAGCTACTCAGCTACTGACAACAAAGTCAAAATGAAATAATTTTGCCGCTTCCAGACTTATGCTTTCTGCACTGCCGCTGGTGCCCTGACAAGCAGAAGCTCCCACCAACATCCCCAGGGCCAGGATTTTGTCCCCCTTGGCTGATTCCCCTAAGGTTTCTTTAACACCCACCACTGCTTTTTCTTGTCACACCTTGACCTGATGCAGCCGCTCAGCAAGAACAGGCTTTGCTGGGACCGAGCCTGGCCCTGCGTTTTGGTCACAGCCCCGAGGCCCTCCATAGCCTGGCACTGATCTACTTTTAACAGGCAGGTAATTAAGAGGTCTGTCATATCACCCATATCTGTCGCTGGGAAGGACTTTTCCTTAGCCGTGAATAAGCTCACGCCTCCAGACCAGTGTTTTTAAGCCCTGGTATTGTCCTTCACCCTCAGTGCAAAGCTTCTGACCAGCACCAGTACATTTTCTTTATTACAGCCTCAACCTCCTGTTACAGAAATAAAATCTACCGCACAGTAAACAAAGGCTGCGGAGTCAAGTCTAACACGACCTCCCTGAGGCTCGGGGCGATAAAACTTTCATCGGCCCCAGCCAAGACTTATTGTCTGGTGAACAAAATGTTCTGGAAAAACGATGTGCCTTCTGTAAACGCATTTTTCTGGCAGGTACGTCCGGTTGTTTAAAACCCGGAGAGACTGACTCAGCCTGGCTCCTGCAGGAGGTGAGGGGACGCGATGGGTGGGGGAGAGGGTGGGAAATTAAGGGGGTGGAGGCGAATGGAATGGCGTGCGAGAAGAGAAGTGAGAGAGGCAGAGCTGAGCCCCACGCAGCCTCTGGCGCCGGCTCGCGGAGCTGCTGCTGTTAACCAGCGCTTTACAGAAAGTTTATGTACACATTTGCCCACCTCCTTCGGTCTGTTTTTTACGCCCAGACAGTTTTCCAACATGTCTTTTGTGGGCAGGAAGCTGTCAGTACTGGTGACAAATTGCCGTAGCGCATTTCTGCCCGACAGGCGACATTTTTGCTCTTCCTTGGCAAGGCTGTCCAGCATGACGCCGCGGATGTCCTTGGGCTTCCCTGGCACACCGAACACGATGAGCAAGACCCGGCAGTCCTGTCCCACCAGGCAGCAGAACTCTGCCAGCTTCTCCAACCTGCTCCTGTTTTGGAAGTGCTCATCTGCCAGCGCGGCTTCCCAGCAGCAGTCCTCCACTGCCTCAGCAGGGCCGCCCTCGCTACGGAAAAGCTCGGCCAGCTGTAAAGCCTGCACGGCAATCTGAAGTTTGATTTGCTTGTCAGCCCCAGACAGAGTCCATATCCAGTCCACCCCGAACAGGGAGGACTGCTGCTTGGTCATTTTGCTGGTTGTGATACGTTCCTCCGCTCCCTTTTCCACCCAGAAACTGATGAAGTCGACCAAAAAGATCTTGCTGAGCGCGTTTGTGCCTGGCTGGAATTTGCTCTGAGGATCCACAAAACCAAGATAGTCCTTCAGCCTTTGAGATGCATGGACCACACCTTGGCTGAAGACTTCACAGATGCTTAGAGTTTCAGCCTCGTTCTCCTGGTTGTCCTTGTGTGAGACCTTCTGGCCCATTTTCTCTGCAGGAGGAGGTAGTTTCCACATGCAGACCGCCTCAGGGAAGTCCCGTCCTTTTCCAGCAAAGGCTCTGTAGGCGCTGGGCTCAGCCAGACCTGTTAAACGTGCACAGGGTTACCTGCGGCTTTCCAGATGAAGGTCATGGCAGTGGCAGAGCGGAGCTCTGCGAGCAGAACAGGCGGCCGTCCCCTGGGGCAGACGGGCTTTCTCCTTGGTGTGTTCCTCTGCAGCTGACCGAGCAGCGACCAGACAGGCCCAGTAACTTTCACACCTACTGAATTCATCTGCGCTTGTTTTCCTTATTGTTAATTCCGGCACCATTTCTTCAGCTGATACTATCTCATTCCAGTCTGATCTTACCTCCTTTGAACTCCTTTCTAGGACTATTACAGAGAAGCCAATTTATTGGCACTGGGCGTTTCCTGGAGATGAAAACAACCTTTTTAATTCCCCAGAGAAGAATATGCATCCCAACCTGAAGATTTCTCCAGGGTGCTTGAAATGACACAGTGGTCTTTTCTGATGGGCTGTTGCCTGTATCCCAATATTAACTGCCACTGCCGTCAGTGGCGTTAGCTGTGCCATGGCCACCCACACCGACTCAGTTGGACTTTTGGCTCAGCTGAGAAGGTTGCGCTGTTGCTGCCTGTAACTGGCTCATCTCAGGGGAGCTTGGACAGTCAATGCACCACCACACAAGACTATCAAGTACAACTAACCAAACAAAGCAGCTTCCTAACCTTAAAAAAACCCCAATCTCCTTATCTGTGACAGCTGGGACGTACATTACCACTGCAGCAGGAGCCACCCCTGCTGCTGGTGCCAAATACACCGCTATGGCCTCTTCATCTACCCAGGATCTCACTACCATTCTCAAGAAACAGGCTTTGTCCTGCTG